TCCCTAGAAATGAATCTGTAGATATGATGGGCAATGATTTAGACATGTACTTTGCAAAATCAAAATATTCAGAATTGAAACATTGGGGTCAATGAATGTTGGTTTAATTCCAAGTTTGAATTTTCAAGTTCACGTAAGCATCTTATTTATGGGTAATTTACTAGTAATGAGCTCGTTTTGAGCTCTGACCTACCAAGATTTTCGTCAGCCTTTTAAATTTATCTTAAACATTTTGTCATTAAAATTAATGAACAATGATTTGGACTTGCATGTTAGCCACAAATTTTTCAGAAGAGTTAATTATTTTACTTTTCTCTATTCTATTTCTTTTGGAGGTATATTTATAACCGCGTAAAATAACCATTTGGGATTACCACGATTTGGCATTTCTTTTTTTTTTTTTGGGGGGGGGGGGAGGGGAGCAAGTCCAAACTTTCTACCTCCTACGTTAGAATTAAAATAGAAAATTTTGTAAGAAGTATGCTTTTTTCTTAAATAAATAAAATGAATATTATTTCTGGTTCTAATTATAAGACCCAGTTGACTAATTTGAGGAGATTAAGGAAAGAAGTTAAGTTAGTTATTTATAATAAATAGGTGTTGTCTTTCCTAAAATATCCTTACTAATCAACTATATTGGCTAGAACTATAATTATTAGACGGACTATCTTGAAAAAAAATGCATAAATATGATAGACAAAGTGGATTGGTGTCTTATTTTTAGAAATAAAATAAAAGTCAAAATGGTCTTATATTAAGAACCGGAGACAGTATTAAATAAGAAGATGTTTGGTTTTCATGTAACGTCTTTTACACTAAAAAAAAATGTTCCGGCCAAAAAACCAAGAACTAAAAAGGCTTGGGGAAGCAAACGTCAATGAGTTATGGTTAGAAGATAAGAAAGGTGTCAAGGTTGAGTTATGGGTAACGCTTCTGTTTTTGTTTTTCTTATTAATTTTTTTTTTGGGGTAAGGAAATTCCGAAAACATAAGTCAATTACCAATGGTCTGTTTGGTACGAGAAAAATGAAAGGAAAGGAAGGAGAGGAAAAATTTTAGTGAGTTCGTTTTAAAAAATTAAAAAAGTGGGCTTATAAAATTTTGATAAAGAGAAAATGTAAGATAAAAGAGTAATTAAAATTAATCAAAAAATTTTAACCCTACTTTTTCAATTTTTTTAAAATAAGCTCATCAAAATTTTTTCTAGCCTCTTTCCCTCCGTTTCCCTTATAGCAAACGGATCCTAAAGAATCAAATCTTTCAATTAATGAATTCAAGTACCTGTTTTGGTGCCCCTCTCTTGCACAAAAAAAAAAAAAAAACAAAGAAAGAAAAAAAGCAAAAAATAAAAAAAATAAAAAGAAAGAAGGAAAGAGAAAAAGATATAGAATTCAATTCAACATGTGTTCGTAGTCCGAGTAGGGTAGAAAAAGAATTACTCCTCTAATCCTAAATATAAGATTTATTTTGTAGTATCGATCATACTACACAGGTTTTATATTTAGAACTAAAAAAGTACTAGTTATAATAACATAATTAAAAATATACTGACAAAAAAAATTAAAAATATAAAACATTATTTGTAGGCGATACGTAAACACTTGTGTAACTATTTGACACAACTATAGGATATCATTGTCAAATTTCAGAATTTCAGTATCAAGCTCTCAAATTAGTTTGAATGGTCATTCTGAATAGCAAAAAAATAAAAATAAAATAGTTTTGATTTATGTTAAAGAAAAGTATGAAGCATCTGGAAGATAATAATAAATGGCATACAAAAAGACACTGGGGTGGGCCTGCATTCGGTGCTCATCAAGTGATGAGAAATCTGGACCGTCCAGATTTAATATTTTTAAATAATTATTTTAAAATAGAAAAAATTTTTTAAAAGCATGATAGTTAAGAGATTATCTTTATTTTTTATTCTATACCTATTAAAATAATTATTTTTAAAAAATAAAAAATAAAAAAGAAATAAAATCTGGACCGTCCAGATCCGATCTGGACGGTCCAGATCCTGATGAGCACTGGGTGCTCATCAGCTTGATGAGCACCCAATGCAAATCGCACTGGGGTGGGGTAATCAGACTGACCCACGAACAGGACGCGAAGATTATTCTTCACTTTCTTTTGGACTTTTTTTAAGACTATTAGTACATTATATCCTTAATATAAGACTCTGTTTGATTTTTATTTTGATCCTAAATATAAGATCCTAATCCACTTTGTCTCTTATATTTATACATTTTTGTTTCAAAGTAGCTTTTCTAACAATGATAGTTCTAGTCAATACACTTGATTAGCAAAGATATTTTAGGAAAGACAACTTTTATTTAGGACAAATAACTAACTCAACTTATTTCCTTAATCTCCTCAAATTAGTCAACTGACTCTTATAATTAGAACCGGAGATAGTATTATATAATTCCTTCAACTTTCCCACATGTAATTCCAATAATACAACTTTGAATTTAACCAAGAAAAATCAAGTCTATTCATTCCCCCCATCGGCCATCATCAGTCCACTTGCCCCTTTGTTGCCATCACTAATAGCTCTTATCTTTGACTTTTTCTCACATTTGACTGCCACGTTTGTGACATATATCAAACAACCATAATAAAGGGGTGTATCGTTTACTATTCTAAATTTTTATAATTGAGTTCATTGTACATTATTTGTAAATAATAGTATTATTTGATATAAACTTTATACTCCTCCGGTCCTTAATATAGGACCTAATTGTTGAGTTGGTTTTGGTTCTAAATATAAGACCTATTTATCATATTTGTTAATTTTCTCTAAATTAACCCTATGAATGCTCCTTTAACCATAATCAACTAGAAGAGGAAGAGAGGATATTAAGAAAGATGATTATGGTATTTTAGGAAAAACTTGTCACATTTCTTATAATTAACTAACTTACCTGACTTTTTTAATCTAATCAAATTAGTTAAATGGGTCTTATATTAAGGATTGGAGGAGTATTATATTAGCTTTAAATAAGCTTTTTCCCCTTTAGTTTTACTTTAACTTTCAATCTTTAATACGTTTCTTGATTATTTCTTTAAAATTTTTTGTATTATAAATTATACTTGCCATGTTTAAAATCCTAAATCCTAAATAAGAAATTTTTAAAAGAATGTGTTGTTACTTGCAAATTCAATATTGTCAAGACTTTATTAAAGTATTATTATCAAACCTAATTTGAAATTTAGTAATTTCAAGCTGTTTTATTCTTAATAAATTATTAAATGTAATAAATAAAATAGATACATTAGATTGTCAAATATTTAAAATTAATTAGATCATTTTATGATCTTTATAATTAATACATGCAATCAATACAATTAATATTCTTTTTTCATAAATATATATTTATGTTAACAAAAAGGGACAAAAATATAAACAATCATATAAGACTAATAAGTATAAATATGAAATCAATATTCTCTCGGTGCTTACAGATATATTTACAGATCGTCGACCAACAATATCTTAATATCGATAGGAGGATTTGAATCCATGATCTTGTGAGTTATAAATCAACTCCTTATCTTAGTAGCATTATAAAATCAATATAAAAGTTAATGAAAATGTACAGTGCTAGTAAGAAACCATGAATGTTGAGGCTTGTAGCTGTTACGACTTCAGGTCTCAATATTAAAAGTTCTTAAAAATTAAGCCTCTGCTTCCAAATGATTAAATAAATGTTTTGTCATCACTGATATTTTAGATTTAGATTGATGCAAGGGGGAACAATATGGGGCCAATTGAGGGTTAGAAACATATAATTTTAAAACAGATATAGTTCATTCTAAATTTATTTCTTCAAGTATGACCCTAAAATTATTGAATAAACTATACACATTCTTTTAAAATTCTGATACAATGACGTGAAAATTATTTTTTGAAAATAATTTAAAAAAAATAAAAAGTGTCTTATCAACAAAATTCCATAAATTGAAAACAATTATTAAAAACATGCACAGTTTATTCAAAATAACGTATGTTAAATGTAAAAATAACGTAAATATAATTTATTCAAAAACAAATGCTCTTCTAGTCCTTAATGTAAGATTTAATTAATTAATTTGAGTAAATTAAAAATATCAGTTAAATTAGTTATTGTATTATATTTATTTTTCTAAAATACTCTAATTATCTTTTTTAATTCTCTTATTCCCTCTTTTATTTGATTATTGTTAAGAAAATATTAATAAGGTTAATTTGAAAAAAAATGATAACATATCAAATAAGTCTTATATATAAAACTAACATCAATTTTCAAATTAGGTCCAACATTAAGGATCAAAGGAGTACTATGAGAGCTAGATAAATAATTTACAAAAATTAAGAAAATTAACTGAGTTAATTTATTTTAATAAATGAGTATTATCTTTTCTAAGATATCCTTATTAATCATAGGTATAAGTTGCCTTTTATGAAAATATTTTAAAATTTGCAATCACTATAGGTCCTTCATAGAGAAAATAAATAAATATTAGAAATAGAGTCGATTAAAATCTTATATGTAGAACTAAATTAAATTTGTAACTAGCTTTTATACTATGAAGCAGAGTTACTACTTACCAAGAGTTACTACTTACCAATCCTAAATATAAAATTTAACTAATTTATAGATATTAAAAAGTTAATTAAATTAATCATTTAAAAATTATATATTAATTTTTTAAAATATTTTTTTAATTATTTGTATTGAAATTACCTATGCGATGAAAATTTTTTAAACTTACATAATTTACAGGATAGTTTGGAAAAAATTATATTTAGATATGAAAAGAAAGAGAAATATAGGACAAATTTACTACTTTACGTTAATTGAAATATTGAATAGAAGTAATTGAGAAGAAAAAAAGAAAAAGAAAAAGAAAAGAAAAAAGGAGTGAGTGGGGCTCGGGGAACGTGATGACGCACTCGAGCTTGGGACATCCCTAACCCCATATAAATAGCCACTGCTTCTTGATTCGTTCTCAATTGTTTTCCACATCCTCCCGACAGACCACGCAGATCACAAACACACCATTTTCTTCCACTTTCTCTTTTGAATCCCTCATCCCCTCTCTCTCCCCGAAATGGCCGATCAGCTCACCGACGACCAGATCTCCGAGTTCAAGGAAGCCTTCAGCCTATTCGACAAGGATGGCGATGGTCTCATTTCTCAGATCCTTTCTTTATTTCATGTTTTTCTGTCTTTGCTTTCATTTTCTCGGGTGTTTTCTTTATCTTACTGCATAATTTTGCTTTGTGTTCTCCTTAGATCTGGTTGCGATTGACCTGCCGTTATGTATGTCGAATTTGCTCCCTGGCCTTTTGAAATTGACATAATCTGCGGGATCTAGGGTTCCTTCTTGTTTGACTTTTCGCTTTTGATTTGAGTTTGTCTATTTGTGGTGTGTGATTGTTGATGTGATGAATGTCTGTATTCTCTGATTCTATGCCTACGAAATTCTTTCACTCTCGCATTTCTTTTTAATCTCCGCGAGAGATTTGATTTAGCCTTGTGATGCGATCAGACGGCTTTTGCTGATGATCAAGTTGTTGCTCCTGATTTACGACAGTCCAATACGGAAAGGGCCTTCTAAGTTTAATGCATTGGATCAGCATTTTGTTTTCTTTTTCTATGGCATGTGCTGGTATTTCTGAGATGAAATAGCCCTGTCAATGACATTTGGATTGGACTTTTATGATTAGTCGATCTATGACTGTTAGTGTCATCCTGTTTATGAGAATTGTCATACTTCTGATCCGAAGGAGGATCTTTCTAATTGAATTCTGGCCAGCGTTACTGAATCTGCTAGGTAACAATTTGGCGAGAGCTTTTTCCTCTGGGGTTGGTGCTTGGGTTCAAGAATTATGTCCATTCATTTGAAAATGGTCGTCAAATGTAGTGTTTTCCAAGGAATTAGCTGTCGTATGGAGACTGACTAATTTGTTAGCTCTAGTGCTTAGTTAGCCGGTACTTGATTTAACAGCAGAAATGAGACAATTGGTTGTTTAGTGCGCACCTGCGTTGAAATGCCCCAATGGGCAATGACTTCCTTATATAGTCATTTACTGTTGGTCGTGAAAATGATGTCCATATCATTGACCAATGGTCATTAATCTCTATTATGTGGTTGCTTATAGCTTATAGGTAGACCTTCTCAACGAAGCTTCCTCTGAATAAGATTCCAATGAAAATATAACATGTGATAGTAATTCTGAAATTTATTAATTTATTAATATTCTGCAGGCTGTATCACTACCAAGGAACTTGGGACTGTGATGAGATCACTTGGGCAGAACCCAACTGAGGCTGAGCTTCAGGACATGATAAATGAGGTTGATGCTGATGGAAACGGTACCATTGATTTCCCAGAGTTCCTCAACCTTATGGCTCGGAAGATGAAAGATACTGATTCAGAGGAGGAGCTGAAGGAAGCTTTCCGTGTATTTGACAAGGACCAGAATGGGTTCATTTCTGCAGCCGAGCTCCGCCATGTTATGACAAATCTTGGCGAGAAGCTGACAGATGAAGAAGTTGATGAGATGATCCGCGAGGCTGATGTTGATGGTGATGGTCAGATCAACTACGAGGAGTTTGTCAAGGTCATGATGGCCAAGTGAGGGACCAATAGGCCAAAATTTGAAAAGAATTCTATTTATATTAGGATATCTTTATTTGGGGTGTCATTAGCGTATTTTTGGTCGGTTGGTTGGCTGTCTTTTCCTGTTTGCTGACATTAGTATCCTTATCCTACTTGTTTGCTCTGCACCTTCCCCCTTTGTTCTGTTCAGTAGGTTGGCTTAGCTTTGTTCCACCATGTATTGCTTTCTACTCTTTTTTGGTCATTATGAACCTTAAAAATTGGATGCAATTTGTGTTGTTGCTTCTGGGTGACTAGTCTTGTTAATATTTACTTATGTTGTCATATCATAGTTTCTTCTGGTCACTTGGTCTTGAACTAGAAGGATCAGGTTGTATCGTGAATAAACTAATAAACTAATAGATAGATGTTGACGTGGGAGGGAAACCGACCTGGTGTTTATTTCTTTTTCTGCATTCCCCCGTCTTTTGCATCTCTTACTACTTTCTCTAGTCCATAATATAAAACTTCTTTGACCCAACGACACAATTTAAGAGCAATTAAAAAAAATGGTATTCCAGATAAATTGACGCTTAATTGCATGAAGGGTATTTTGAAAAGGTACAACATGCGAAGTGCAATTGGAGGATGTGGATCCGATCATAGTGCTGTTCAGTAATATAATTGGATTGGGCAAAAACCTAAATCGGGTGGTCCCTGAAAATGCATTGTGCACTTCAAGCCTTGGGCTTTATTCTAGAAGTATCGGCAATGTCGCCCTGGATGAGGCATTGTTTGGGAAAAAGAAAAAAACTGTAACCCTATGCATTAATGGGCAAAAGCCACAAATCACGATCACCTATGCAGTTTTGGTCTCATCTGCAGTAGTCATATGATTTATAAATTCTCAACTATATAAATCATCTCAAATTCTATATAATTCATGAGCTTATTTAGTCTGATAATATCTCCCTGATGCTTTGTATGAGTTTCAAATAACGAAGTCTGTATATTAAGAAATTAGTTAAAAATAATAAATATGTTAGAAATGTATTTCTTTCTCTAAATATACTCTTATTTAAAGAGAATGTATGAGAAAAATGAGAGAAGAAGTGGGAACAAGTGATGTTTAAACAATTTTTTTTCCCTAAATATACTACTATCTATACTCCCTTTGGTCTTTTTTATAAGCTACAATATTTTCAATGGGTCTTGTTCTTTTTATGGACTACACTTTAGAGATGTTTAAATATTTAATGTATTTTTTTTTTTCATTTTACATATAAAAGAAGTCCATTTCATTAATTAATCATATTAAGAAATAAAATTAAAACCTCTCATAAAGGATCCTCAAAACTATGTTGCATAGATAATTAAGTAGCTTTCATATTACAATCTTTTTAAATTGAGATTATGTCATCATCTCTTCTACATGAATTTGTAGAAATGGAACCAAGACTTAAGTATGACTGCTAGAATCGAAAAGTATATATGGTACAAAATTCTTAAAAATCTTGGGGCGCTTTAAATATATAATGCCTGCAATTTGTTTTTATTCTTTAAGATGTAAAAGTTGAAGATGATTTCCAGCCCAAAATACCAACGAAGCATTCTTTTAATTTTATTCGTGGAACGTTCTAGTATTTGATTTTTGTTGTTACTCCCTCATCCCATAAATGTATGAACTAGCTGAAAAGTGTATTTTCATTTAAAATGTAACACTTTAATTTATTTTGTTTTTTAAATTTATAATTTTTTTTTCAAATTATTCTTATTATTAGATCAATGGGGGTAATGATTAAAAGGATATTTTAGATAACCTAATACATATTTATTATAAATAATTAAATTAGTTATTTTTTTAATATATACAAGTTAGTTATCTAGTTCTTATATTTAGAATTGGAGTATTTTAGTTTTTAGGAGGTTATAAATATTCCATATACGTATTGACATTTTAGCAGGAGTATAATCTTTTTTTAATTGACTTGTGCTATATAATCAACAACTTTTGCCCTTGAATCAACAAAGATAATGCGCATCCAAACGATTGCTCACCATCAACTATATTCACAAGTCCTTTATTCCTATTCCTACTGATCTTACTTATTCATCTATTATAACCTAGCATGAAATTTTATCATTGCTTCATATTTTTTCCCATACTTTAATCAAAGTTGTGTTCTTATCTTCTTTTCTTAGGATGTTTAGCAATTCTTTCTGCACTTTAACTTATTGTATTGTTTAAAACTCTTTTTTCTTAATATCATTGTGTCTTATCCGGGGGGGGGGGGACAAGATAAGACTTAAGAATAAGAGATGAGATGACTATCTATAGAAACTTTGATTTTTGCTTTTTTAAATGTTTTGTTTCCATTTTTTACCTCCTTTCTTATGGTTTGAGGATGAAACTTGATCCCCCCTCTCCCAATCCACCTCCTTTTCCTTTTATAATAATTGCCAACCCATTTGCTTGGTCTATTAACATGCCCTGTATTTTTTATATGACTTGTATTTATGTGGTTAACAAAATGAGGAGAAAAAGTGAGAAACATTCTAATGATCACAAATACAAGTGGATTCAGCATTATACCTTGAAAGAATTGATGAAACTAAGTTGTGAGCCCATACGCCGCGTGGATTCTGAAAACGTGACATTATATTACATATATTGATTTTTAAACCATAAAAAAATATTTTTAGTCATTCATTCATCAAATTTTTCCGAATTTTAAAAGGGTCAAAACTGAGTTGAAAATTGTTAAATTAAAGATAATGTCATTGGAGACTTGCAAGATTTTCAAACTTACAGCAAATAGCAAAAACCTCAACTTTGAAAATTGGCAATATGTCAATCACCATGAAGGAGCATAGCCATTGACACACCAAAATTAGGATTATTATATTTATACATGAATTATTCTGATAAGTTGAGAAATAGAAAAACATGATTATATATAAAATCCACATTTCAATCACTACATCCATCTATTGTTTCCTGTCTACCCAAAATGCATCATGTACATTCTCTTGTATGAATGTAGGATATCACAAAACCTTAAAGCTTAAAGCTGATGTATGCTTTTATCTTTACAGGCTGAAGCTACCCAAAAAAGAAAGGAAAAGAAAGAAAGAAGAGAATGAAACATAAAGAAAGGGATGTTAAATCCGTTGTATGTTTACTTTTGCACACTTTGTGGTTTGTAGAGGACCACTGTCACATACTTGGACTGGAACCTGTGGGTCAATCCAAGGGCAACAACAGACTGGGAGGCCGAGTATTTATGAGTGAAGACATGGTTTAGGACCACATGTTGAGGCTTGGAGTTCGAAGGGCTACCTACAATTGAGTTCTCTTTATTTAGGACAGTCAGGTGTAGCTGTGAAGGAACCGCCATTGGCTCTTTTGCAAAGTCTTCATCGGTTAGGGATGATTGACCATAGCTGGAGTCTGGAGATGGTGGAGCCTCAAATTCACTCACGCATTTGGGGTTTTCAGGCACGTAATCCTGCATGAAACAAAAGAAAGAACAATTCATGTCTAGATATACAAAAACAGAATATTCAGGACAGGGTAATAAGAACACACTTATCATAATCCGGAGAAGTCATGATGGGATAAAGATTACATTAATTATTGGTTTAATATGTATAGAAATCATATAGAAGGATGGACTTTATTTGCAAAACAGAAAGTTCAAAAAAATAATTCACTGTTATTTCATAAAGGGAAGAAAACGGAAGGCAAAAAATGATGCTTACATTAACATTGAGAAGATTGTAGATGTGGCCCATCTCATTAGCTACATGAGGAAGCTCTGGAAGATATCTAGGTTGGCCATCAACAATGAATTTGTAGTGATATATGCCCAATGGCAGGACCATTAGAACTGAGAAATCCTTGCCAGACCTCTGCAGTATCTTCCTGCGAGTAATACAAATGCACTTATGCTATAAAGTTCATTACTGAACATTTGCAACTATAATTACTTCCACGTTACAAACAATGAAGTTGGCATTACCAAAGTGAAAGTGAAAGATTCTAACCTATGCGCCCAATTATCCCAAGATCCCTCGACACAAACATGGCTACCACCATAATGCCATGTTATTATGACAGGAATTTGTCGCTCTTGAGGTTGATCAACAATTCCATGGGGGGTTTCATTCTTCCGTAAATGACTGAGAATAGGAGAGACGTTACCTCTAGGTGAAGGGGCAACAGCAACCTACAAAGAAAGACACTGATGATAAGTTGATAACAACGCATTTTTTCCAATATAAAAATTTAGAAAATAACATGTTTTTGGTGTTTCTTGATGGGCTAAGACATGAAAAGCCCAAAAGATGTAGCGACATATATAGATGTTGATATACACATATCACACACATAAACTGCTAGCAGGCACATTAGCCATTTCCATGAAGGAAAATGTAAAGTCAACTAGAACAGCAGCACATAAACATATTGCATACTACGATATATAACCTACGATCATAAGTTGAATCTTTAAAAAACTTCCATTTAAGTCGTATCATCTTATCCCCTAAGCTCAGCAAAGTTAATTCCAAAATCCATTTCAACCTTGTCATTCAATGCACAAGAGTTTCTCCAAAGCACATAACATTAAAGTCACAAGAACAGTAAGGCCAATAATTGAAAAAGCTTAGTTATAACGACATTCGTAAAGTCTTCTCTATGCAATCATATCACCTTCAAGTCAACATAGTTTCACGTATGCAAACTTTCATTAGACAATAGCGGGCCTTTCAATTAAAAAAAAAAAAAAAAAGAACTTGAACAGAGAGAATCAGATTTAGGACTTTCAAATCATCTTCCCATTGCAATATAAATAATAGAATAGAGGAACGTCTCAAAATCAGCATCTTTGAGCCTATTATGCGAGCAAAAGTATTTGTAGAGCTATGCTTGCACAAAAGGTAAGACCACAAGCAACCAATATAATCAGGAAAATAAAAACAGACAAGAGACAGAAAAGTTGAGACAACTGCCAGAAATATCATATCCTTTTTGATATTAGGGCCTCTAAAACCAAATGGAGGCTACGCAAAAAAGTAAACCAAGCTGAAATCCCTTCACCCATAACACACAGGCAGAGTGAGTGTGCAGGAAAAACAAATACGATGCTGGAGTAGAATTTAACCAATTCAAGCAAAATCAAAAATGAAATCATTCTTAAATAAGAAAGATATTTAATATTTCAAGGACATTAATTCTTACAAAATTTAATACCTATACAAAGTAATGTAATCGATTTTTCACAGATAATCATATTAATAAAGGATACGAGTATTCAATGATAAAGAAGCCATGCCTTCATGGCCA